ACGCACACACACCGACATTCACGCGCGCACCCACACGCACACTCACGCACGCACCCACATGCACACGCACACGCGCGCACACACACACACACACACACACACACACACACACACACACACACACACACACACACACAGACAAGTCTCCAGATTTCTTTTCTTGATTGTTTTCTTTTCATATTATTGTTTTCTCTTTTTCGAAACAGCGACCGTATCCTCTGCAACTCGCAGAGGGGGTACATCGACATCATCAAGCAGGAAAAAAAAAAAAAAAAACAATTTCCATCTCGAAAACAATGGATGAGCGGAACCCTGCCCATCGATTTCAACAATTAAAAATAATAATAATAATAAGAAGAAGAAGAAAGAATAAATAAAATTAGGGGGGTTCGCCAACACATACCCCCCCCCCCCCATCTGTCAAATAAAAAACACCCTCCCACCTGGAAAAAAAAACCACCTTCCCACTCACCGTGATGGCGGTCATGATGGGCTGGTCACCGAATCCATGAATGATGACACCCTCCCAGTCATATACCCCAATGATGACACGCTCCCAGTCATATACCCCACCGTTCATGAATGGTGTTACAACACTGCCCTCACCCCTACGGACAAAGCGTTCTCCAATGCACAGAGAGAGAAGCTAGACCTTCTACATACATGAACCTGATTGTGTGTGTCTGTGTGTGTGTGTTATTCGTGTGTGTGTGTGTGTGTGTGTGTGTGTGTGTGTGTGTGTGTGTGCATGTGCGTGTGTGTGCGCTGCTGTTGCGGTGTCGCTCGTCCACTTGCCCTGGCATTCCTCGCAGTCGTTTTTGGCATTGTGCAGTTGGGTTGCTCTGGCGGCGTTGCCTGGTGCTTCACGGAGTTGTGTCGCCTGCTGCTATGTTGTGCTTGGGGACAGTCTGACGTCAACATTGGTCAAAGGGTTCATGGCCCAAACCATCAAATTGAATGCGGAGATTCTGCAGATAGTCGAGGTTTCAGCCTCCTGATGAGTCAGTCCAACTCCGACGAAACAATTTCTCATCTTCACCTTTTATCTTCTTCGGTCTTTCTGATATTTTGGGACCTTTTCTTTTTTTTGGGGGGGACTTGCCGGTTTTGTGTGCTTGTGTGCTGTCTGCCCTCGTGCCTGCCCCATGTCCCGCGCTTCTCCGTCTTTCGTGCCTTGCTGCCCTGCATCGCTTGTCTGCCTTTCAGTCTTGCCCTTGTATCTTTTTCTGTCTTTCGTATGTCCAAAGGACCCTGCAATGCTACTTAAAAAAAGGCTTGCCTGTTGACTTGACTTCACTCAGATGTGTGTTTCCTCCTCAAGTATTTTGTCGCTACGGTGCACAGTTTCTGTGTCGCTCTCTGTGCTTTGAGGATGTACGACATGTGCGGAAACACACATCATCATCACACACACAAATGCACATGCACCCTGCGCAGACGGTCGAGGTTCGACCTCCTGACGAGTTGGCGAAAGTCTGATGAAACGGTCCGGCACACACACACACACACACACACACACACACACACACACACAGAAAATCACTTTTATGTTTGTCTGTTTTCCAGTTGTTGTATGTCCTCCCCCTGATCTTTTTCCAAGTATTTTTGCTTACCCAATCTGAGCACCCTAAGTAGTGCCAAACAGTCGGTGGTTCCTCGTTTGGAGAGCCTACTGCACTCTTATGGGGGCCGCTCAGTTCGGGATGTCTGTGTTGCCTGTAGGTGATGACTGATGCTCGTCGGAGTGACTCCCTGGCTCAGTGCGTGGTGAGAACCAACAGTCTGTGGGGTTCAATCGTGATGTGCGTAGGTCATGTGCTGCTTTGCTCCATGTTGGAGTGTGGACTGCCTCGTCTGTGCTCCACCGCCGCCTTGCTGCCTGTCCTGCTGGCTTCGCATGTGGCTCTCTGCATATTGCTGTGTTCACTGTGTGGTGTGGCCGTGTTTTTGGTGTCAACGTTCGGTCCGCTACGAGGTTATGCGAGAATTGTCTTCAAGTTGTCTAGTGCATGGGTCTCTCCGTGCGGGTCGCTAGCAGAGTACACTTGTTGTGCACTGAGGCGTCATTACACACACACACACACACACACACACACACACACACACACATCGCCAGTATTTGCCATTGGGCCTTCAACCAGCCATGAAGGTACCTGAAAGAAAATTACCCCCACAGGTACCCACCCTATCCTCCCCCATAGGCCTGGTTTGAGCAATCAGTGTCTGGGTTGAATTCTTGTTCTTACGGTACGGTGGGTAAAAATACCCCCACAGGTACCCACCCTATCCTCCCCCGTAGGCCTGGTTTGAGCAATCAGTGTCTGGGTTGAATTCTTGGTCTTACGGTACGGTTGGTAAAAATAACCCCAATGGTACCCACCCTATCCTCCCCCGAAGGCATGGTTTGAGTAATCAGTGTCTATGTTGAGATTGTGGTCTGACGGTACCTTTAGTAAAATTACCCTCGTAGATACCCACCCTATCCTCCCCCGTAGGCCTGGTTTGAAGTAATCAGCGTCTGGGTTGAAATCATGTTTTCAAGCACAGGGTATCGCGGGATTTTGATCCGGCGGACAGTATTTATGTCCTCTGTCGTTCGTAGTCCTCCCTCAATCGGTGAAGCGCCTCCGGCCGCGACGCTCTGGTTCATTGTGCGGCTATGAACTTGAGCCCGCGCGTCGGCGCGCCGTAGTTCTGGCGACAAGGAAGGCACGTATCGGCGTTGCACTCCAGCTAACTCCATCCGTCACTTCGTTCTCCTCTCATTCCCCACTTGCCTCTCCACTCTCGAAGGTGCTATCTACTGCATGTAGTGGTTATCTTCCTCCCCTTGGGTACTTTCCTGATAGCTCTACGAAGGCGATCGCTGGAAAATTGTCGGATCTTCTTCTTAGGCTACGGATCCCAGCAATGAGCGAACCTGCGGCTCCATCATGTGTGGTAATGCTTTCGTATACCTCCTCCCAATCTACCAGCGTCCCTTCCCAATGATCCTCTCTTCGGCTTGAAAGAAAGTCTTATCCCTTTCAACACGATAACTAAGGGTAATATACCCCCTGATGAGCCAATTTTTAGTAGGGATTGGCGAAAAAGCTTTTGGGACTTCCTGCTAATTACCCTACTGTTTCGTCGGCACTTTGGGGTCGTTAAGTTGAATTGGGACTTCTATAACATACTATATCCGTATTCTAGTCAGTGCATGATATTACTTAACTGTTTGCTATCGGTTGCTTGTTGCTTGATTGGTTTTCGTTTTGGTTGATTGTTTGCGTGTGAGCGGTGACATAGGATTTGGTGCGCTTGCAGTAAAGCTTTGGATCGAAGTTTTGAAAAGTTGGAAGGTTCCATATGGAATCTGCTTATGTGGCCATCGCCATAGTATCAATTTTTGCTATCTTCCTAGCGTTGCTGGCGTTCTTCTCGCTTATGGAATTGTCTGCATTGAGAACGCGTGATTTCGGGATTTGCTGTTCGTGCAACAGTTCATCGGTGCACTCTACACAGCAGAAATTCTGCCGAAGGGACTAAAGTGATGGAGGGGGTGATTTACTTTCTCATCTTTTTCTTGTGGGCAGGGATGGGGTACGTTTCCATGGCAATGGTGGTGCTTCGGGCATGGATGGAACTTTGGGCAGCGAGGGATGGGATGTGCTATGAGAGCGGGTTGATGGTTCCAATGTGCTGCGGCTTCATCGCTGCGTCCACTATGATTGGCGCGATGATCATGTATCATTGGGTCAGGTCGTCGATATTCCTGTTGTTGTACGTAAGCCCTTCACGGGATCGGATACCAACTTGATCAGCCATATGGCGTGACCAAGAATGGTCAGCAGCAAGGATAGTCAAATGCAAATCGAAGAGCCGGGGAAATGGTGATCACCAAGTATGAGTGAAAAGGAGAGAAGGGGACAATGCTGCATGACATTCATATTTTCACAAGGATTGACGAAGTCAGTAATGGGTCGTGTATGGGGCGAGAGGGGAATGCTTGACGAGGTGGTGATGCGTTCTGATCGGATTGGAAGTTTGTATGCGGATAGGATAGCTGCTTTTCCTTGTTTTGTGTGTGAGTAATGATGTAGGATTTGACGCGATTGCGGTACCTTCATGTTTTTGAAATCTCGCAATTGAGTGCTGGGTAGATAATCGCTGGGAATTGATCAGCTTCTTCCTAACATATGGCAACATACGAGGGAATGATCACTGAGCAATCAGGTGTATATATATGTATGATACTCATGGCAGAGTAGTATATACACCGGAAAGCTGGTCCATATAGGATATATGGCAACCATCTTTATTCGATTATCTGGCTGAGCACTATGCACTGTTTTTGATTTTCCCGGATTGTTTTTGAAAGAAACCCTGTCCTTTAGCTCTAATGGATAGTTCATAGTTCCCTGTCCATGTGTTCAAGTGGTGATAATCTACCGCAGGAGCATGGTTAGCGGATCCACGGATCGTAATAATGAGGAAGCATAACTTGAAGAATTCACATCTTTCGTCATGCTGGAGCGTAATACGAGGATGAGCGAAGGGAGAATGCGTAACTGGAGTGGAGGCTGTTAATTACGCATGGGTACTGGGGTAAATGAAAGGGAAATTCTGAGAAGGATGCGCAGTAGAGGGTAATTGGTTGAGGAATCAGAATGAGATACATAGTATTAGATAGGTGTGATTGTCTTTTTCGCAAAACTGATGTAATTGGTGAATGTGAAATGTGTAAGCCATATAGGATAGTGTAATGAGTGGTTAGGTGGTAGCAATCATGTTACATACAATCGGTTGTGATGGAGTCTGTTCTTCAGAATACTTGACCTTGTGTATTGTGTCGAAGAATTTTTCCTGCTTTCTCGTGTGATTTGTATTAATGAAACGGATGAATGGGTTTTGAGGTATATTCGTTGATCGCGGATGAATATTTTCGATGAGCTTTTTCTTGCTTTCACGTGAAAGTTGAATTTCTGTGATTAAACGAATGAGTGGGATTTGATATGTGATCGATGGTCGCGACTTTACTCATCCGCTTATACCTGGGTCGTACTGTGGGATGTGGTTACTCTTTGTATAACTCTTCTTCCATGTATATGAGTTTTTCTATTCAATAATAAGGTTTACTTTTTCCCATACTAACTGAGATACATCGCGAAAACGCCTCAAATGCACGAAATCTTGTCTCCTGATGTAAACTCTATGGATCTTTTTCTCGCGCGTACAACACAAAATATATAAGTGTATATCGGATGATTGAATTCAATGCAACCCCTGAGGATTTAGTTTCGCGTTTCTGAATAGCCATAGTACCAAGGATCTGTTGTATTTACGAAGGCGTATTGTTTTATGGTTTGCTGCGCTGTTTAAGTGCAGTAGCTCCCTGTCTACTCAAAACACACACACACACACACACACACACACACACACACACACACACACACACACACACACACACACACACACACGAATAAGAACATGAAGAGCACAGGCACCCATCCCATACCATCTGAACACACGGAGAATGCAACGGAGCTTATGCAACATTATATTTCACACAATTCCTGATGCAAGGTACAGTCTCAAAACTGGCAACCACTCAATGTCATTCTCACTTTGATTGAGCAAGATTTTGCCTGCTGGTTCATGAGAGACAAAATCAGGGTTCCACCTCCAGCATTGTGACAAATGGGAGGGAGCAATGAGAGGGACAACTACCCACCTATCGAATCAAGCAGAACAGGCTCTTTGGGGGGTGCTGCAAATAAAATTTAATAACCTCTAACAAAGCTTGGAAAGGGCAAGAAGAAAGAAAGGAGAGAAAGGAAAAAAAACAAAACAAAAAAAAAAAACTGATCACCTGTGCTTCACAGAAATAGTGATGTAATGCTAGAAGCCTGAAAAAGGCCTGCGGCAAAAGTAACAGCGCTTCACTTCACTACACAACACTTCCACTTTTATCTGTATCCGCTACTATCCAGACTTCATAATCATCCTGATAAATTCAAAAGGCTGGACTCCTCCGGATGCATCTGGTCCAGAAAGGCGTCCATGTCCAATGAAAAGAAAAAAAAAATTCATGTATATGACATATATGTTGCACCGACTAGAAAGACACAATACATACTGCATTTGCTGCCAAGCTTTCCTCCAAACTGCAAGTGCAAAACTTCGAAGCGCAAACTGTAAACCCTCAAGTGGGTCTGTTGGGTGTGCCGGCCTTTTCCAATTCCACCTCCCCATGAATCTATACTACTGCAGCTCCCCTCGCGGGCCTTGTTCCCGTTCGAACTCCCAACGAGTCTATTAACAATCCACTGCCAACCCTATGTAATCTTTGTGCTTAAAGACTTTTGCATCTGCGTTTATATATCTTGACATCTTGTGTGATGTGTTTTCTCTCATTGCTATCATAACCTATTGCTGCTCCACTCCCGAACTCTAACAAAAATGCAGAATAAAGTTCAATAAACCTCCAAGAGCATGGCTGCCTCGTACAAAAAAAAAAAAAAAAAAAAAAAGAAAGTGATTCCCAAAATCGTAACCCTGCACCCTTCCATCTTCTATGCAGAGAGAGGAATCTGTGCAGCTTCTTGTTAAAAAAAAAAAAAAAAAAAAAAAAAAAAAAAAAAAAAAAAAAAAAAAAAAAAAAAAAAAAAAAAAAAAAAAAAAAAAAAAGGAGAAAAAAAACAAGAAGAATAAGACAAAGAAGGAAAAGAAGACGAAGAAGAAGAAGAAGGAAAAAAAAAAAAAAAAAGAGGAAACCTGTGCAGCATCTACATGTTCTTGTATCTTCCTATCAATTCAGATGCCTCAAGTTTCGTTGCTGGTTCTGCGGTGCATCCTAGGCTTCGAAGATAAGCAACCTGCGACCAAAAGAACCAAGGGAATTGTTCGGGACATCAGTTAAAATTGGAACAATAAAGAGAAAATGAGCATGGGCCCTGGCTCAAGGTTGACAAGGCATCAAACGACCCACCGCCCTTCTTTTTTTTCATTTTTTTTAAATTATTTTTAATTTTTTAATTTTTATAGAGTGGAAGGGTAAGTCGTAAATAAAACGTATACCACATTCTTCGGAGGCCAGGAGAGACCGCACGCAAAACCGGATGCAGAAAAGCTGATTCCGCCTGCAGAAAAGCTGCCGAAAAGCTGCAGAAAAGCTGCCGAAAAGCTGCCGAAAAGCTGCCGAAAAGCTGCAGAAAAGCTGCGGAAAAGCTGCAGAAAAGTGGATTCTCAGGCAATGGCATGCCAAGTACATGCACACCATCTCAGTGAATGGATCAACCATCGATTCAGCCCTACCTCGTCCCAGCTTGTTTGCTGGATCGACTGGGATTGACTGGGATCGACTGGGATCGACTGGGATCGACTGGGATCGACTGGGGTCGAGTTCCGACTGGACCCAGTGACCAGTGTGTGTGTGTGTGCTTGGCTTGTCATCGCCTGAGACTTTATGGCAGTTTATGCAAGGAAAATAAACAACAGAAACAAAGGGACTACAGGTGCGGGAACAATTACATCAGAGAGAACAATTACTGAACAGGTAGCGCGATACAGGTGCATACATCGTCATATAGAAAAATGTATCCGGCGTATTTATGCCATACATCGTCGTATAGAAAACGATGATGTATCTGGTCCAGCCCGAGACCAGAGTACAAATGACTGTATCCGCCGTATAGCTCTGTCGGGATACAGGCGCATACATCGTAATATAGAAAACGGGCTTGCAATGACCTGTTGCATTCGGCGTGCAGTCTTTTGCCCACTCGATTGGAGTCCGAAACTATCGACAGACGAGAGAGAGAGAGAGAGAGAGAGAGAGAGAGAGAGAGAGAGAGAGAGAGAGAGAGAGAGAGAGAGAGAGAGAGAGAGAATGATGAGGTAGCAACTCGCTCGAGCAGAGCGGAAACATGACGACTAAGAGCACAAACACTTGAGGAATTTTCCGGGAGGAATCTTGTTTGTTTTACGCCACGATAGTTCCCAAAAATGACAATCAGACGAGTAAAAAACACACTCAAGGAATGACGAACACGAAGGAAAAGGAGATGAGAGGGAAAAAAAAAGAAAAGGAGAGAGGTATGAAAACCAAAACAAGGGGGAGGGGAGCGGAGGGGGGAGATGCCCACCTGCTTGGAGGTCGGTGCTGCCGATGCCATGGCACGCTCCACATTCAGCTGCTGAAAATGTTCCTGCAGGGTATATTTTTATTATTTTGAATATTTTACCAAAAAAAAAGGTTAGAAAACAGGCCAAAGCCAAAGGAAGACTTCAAGAGAGATTAACACTTGATTGCTTTTATCAACACCGCTAGCACCCACACCACATGTTTTCACCCAAAAAAAAAAAAGAGAAAAAAAAAGAAAAGATAGTGTTAAACCACCCTGCAATGAACCCAGTCAAGGGAAAACTCGTCAACGTTGAAGTACAGAACATCTCAGCGCAGAATCGATGTCTCCAAAATTCATACATGAAATCAAGTAGCACAATGTCTCGTAACCAGAGAAGAAGCGGAGGAGAGGGAGATAGTATGGCGGAGAAGAACCAGAGAAGAAGCGGAGGGTGGAAGAGAAGGTATCCATCAACTTTGTAGATAGATCTCCCTCGCAAGCCCACTTCCTCTCCGGGCACCTCCCCACTTGCCACGTCAGCGAACAGTCTCCCCCTGAGATTACAGCATGGCGCCCATCCCCCAGCCACGTCAGCAACAGCGAGAGAGGATGGCGCAGATCCCTCCTGAAGATGTACAGCAATGCTCAATGTCGACACGAACACGATCAGGTAAGCTTTCCCTTCCACAATCGACCAATCTCACAGCCCTGATGCTCCTCCTCCTCGCCGGTACCTCATCAATGTCATAATCAGTGTGGCGAGAGCCACGTCAGCCTCTAATCAATTGCACAGCTGGAGGCTTAGACAGAGAATGGCGCCGGTGCAAAGCTCCGGCACGGCAGTCTCGCGTCATCGCATCAGCGTTAAGCCAGCATAGAGCGGCAAGTCCAAGACTGAATGTCCACCAGCAGGGGCTGGGTCAATCATAGTGTTGACTCGTGTTGACTAGCCTCTGGTCTCTCCGATACGATGGCCCAGATCGTCTGTCAGCCAATGGCCAGGATCTCGTACAGTTGCAGATTCCCACTTGGACTTGATTCCGTCCGGATACCTGTAAACAACAACCAGAGGTGTGTGTCTGATCTACGACCGAGGCTGGGCACATGTTGACTTTGACTCGTGGGCCTGAATTTTGAATTTCTGAGCAGAGATTGGCTGTTGACTTTCCCACGGTCAACCGTCTCACATTAGGCCTCTGAAGGCCAGGCCAGTTTTGGCCTTGCCTTGGGTACCCCAACGCAGCAGGCCTTCATTCAGGCATTTTCATCACTTGGGGGTGACCTTAGTTAGGCCCCTGTTTCGGGCGTTTGATGCAAAAGTGTGGACCCACAGCCCACGGCTGGCGCATATTTGAGCTGAGTTTATTGCACACCACTCCACACCAGCCTACGTTGACGAAGCTACCATCTAAGGCTCGCGAGCCTGGCCTGCAATTGGGCCTGTTCAAAGTGGCCTCTGCCGGTTTGCCACCCAACAGGGGCTGAATCGAAACGAAACGCCCTTACCACGTAAACCGGTACGAGTAGCACCGTGCTTCGGGGGGGGTGAATTGGCGGTGTTTAAACACCGCGAATTCAATTCACCCCGCCCTGAAGCACGGTGCTACTCAGTTTTGGCCACAGCCAAGTTGAGAATACGATTGAGGCTCTCCTAAAATTTTGGAGGCTCGGGACAGGGTGTCTGAAGGGCCAGTAGAAAAAAAAAAGAAAAAGAAAGTCCCATGCCATGGGGTAGCACTAGGCTGCCCCACGTGATAGGATCTAGCCCAGTAGGTTATGATGCCGGACTTTCGCCCAGCAGATACCGGGATCAAGCCTGGCCGCACACATCGTACTGGGCCAGCTCCTTTTCAAAAAAAAAAAAAAAAAAGAAAAAAAAAAGAGGGGTGGCACTAGGCCCATCCCTGATGAAACGGTATTCACATGTTAGCAGTAGCGAATGCAGATCCCAGGGCTCGACCCCTAGTCCTTACCTTACCTGTGTCGACCCCGAGAGTTGAACCCGTGACCTGTGTATTCGCACCACTTGGTAGACTGTCGTAGGTCCGTAGGTTGTAGGGGTTCGATCTGTAGACCTGTCGGATAGAGGTCTTAGTGAGTTCTAGAAGTCGTAGCTGTAGCTCCTCTGAAAGGTCAAGTTCGTAGCTGCTACAGTCCTGAAAGGTCAAGGTCGTAGCTGCTACAGTGTCGAAGGGCCAAGTCCACAGACTTCCGGAAGGTCCGGAAGTGGCCCTTCCAAC